AAAGGCATCAATTCTTCTATCATCCTTAGTAATTGTCCGGCTTTCAGATGAGTAGTAAGTAATTGTGAAGACCATGTATGGATCAGGTGCACCTTAGTCTCCAGGTTGACATCATTGCTCTTCAGTACTCTAGAGAGATCCTTGACAGCAGACTTTCCCAATAGTTTGTCTTTTTATTTCCTGACCGCTGGTGCCAAGAGTGTTGATTGTGAAACCAAGCAAGCTGAAGCTGTTAACATTCTCAATCTCTTCTCTGTCTATCATGAAGCTGCCAATTGGCCCAGTGGTCAGAATCTTTTTTTTCTTGATGTTGAACTTCAATCCATATTGAAAACTACAGTCCTTGACCTTCTGCAGCAAACGCCTCTTGTCCTCCTTAGTTTCAGCAAGCAGGTTTGCATCATATGCATATTGCAGGTTGTTGATGAGTCTTCCTTCAATCCTGATGCCACATTTCTCCTCATAAAGCACAGCCTCCCCTCTGCATACAGATTGAAAAGATATGGGGACAGGACATCCTGACACACACCTTTCCTGATCCTGAACCATTCAGTTTCTTCCTGCTCTGTTCTGCCTACTGTCTCCCGGTCCAAGTGTAGGTTTTGCATGAGCACAATTAAGTGTTTTGGGATTCCTGTTCTCCTCAAGGTTAGCCACAATTTGTTGTGATTCACACAGTCAAATGCCTTTGCATAATCAATGAAACACAAATAGACCTTCCTCTGTAAAGGCCTGTGTGTGTGTGTGTGTGTGTGTGTAAAGGCCTTTTATCAGCTACCTAATGTTCAGATATTTTTTTCCTGAGAAAACCTGTGGTCACCAAGTTGAATCCCACTTAAAGCCACCCCGAGCAGAGAACCTGCCCAGGTTTCCAAGAATGCCACCACCATCCTCAGGGGCCTCTGAGAACCCTAAGGTCTCTTTCAAAGTTGCTCAATCTGTTGCAGCCCAGAAGCAGCTACAGGACTTATGTAAGTGGATGGGCATTGCTGTGTTCTGATAAAACTTTATTTACAAAAGCCTCTGCTAACACCAGGCTGTGGATCCCACGTGGTCCGGCTGCGGTGTGTCTGGGGTGGATCTGCTCTGTGTGTGCATGCTCCACGGTGAGTTCTGTCGAGGGGGTTTGCCAGCTTCCATGGAGCCCCAAGCGGGTTTGAACAGCCAACTGTTTAGTTGCCTGGCATCAGCCATTGTGCCACCCAGGGGCACACGGTGACCAGGAAACCCACCCACACAGTGGTGTGTCCTGTCCAGCTTGCAGGGCCCATAGGACAGAGCGGAGCTGCCCAGGGTCCCCCCGTGGGAATCTTCTGGAAGCCTGCCACCTTGCCCATCTCCTCAGAGCACCTGGTCAGTCCCAGCTGCTGACTGGCGGACCAGCCCTTAACCCACTGTGCCAAAACACCACTTGTTATTTTGTTTTTAATTCCCTTTTTTGTGGCAAAATATACAAAAAAAAAACCCAAACATTTTAACCATTTGATTATTTAAGTTTTAAAAACTTATTTATTTATTTATTTATTGGAATCTTTGGGTCAACATATAAAAATCATATTGGTCCTTGAGGCATAGCTGTTTTGTTTTATTTCATTCATTATATTGATTAATTAGCTAGTTTTAACTTATTGTAAACATAAATTTCTATGCATTGAAAAGATAAAACTCATTTTATTGTGTTGTTTGCTTTAGTGCGCTGGTCTGGAAGCATGTGAAGAGACATGGGCCGTGTGCCAGGCCGTGTGCGATGATGTGGGCTGTGGGCCGTGATACGGGCCATGATGTGTGCCGTTTGCCATTTGTGCACTGTGTGCAGTGATGTGGGCATGACAGAGACATGAGTCATATGTTGTGCAGTGAGCCATGTGCCCTGGTGTGGGCTGTGCTGTGGACCATGCATTGTGCCTTAAGTTGTGTGCAGTGACGTGAGCCGTGTGCAGTGATGTGAAATAGTTTCAGTGGTGTGGGCCGTGTGCAGTGACGTGAGCCGTGTGCAGTGACGTGAGATATTGCAGTGGTGTGGGCCGTGTGCAGTGATGTGAGCCGTGTGCAGTGACGTGGGCCGTGTGCAGTGATATGAAATAGTTTCAGTGGTGTGGGCCGTGTGCAGTGATGTGAGCCGTGTGCAGTGACGTGAGATATTGCAGTGGTGTGGGCCGTGTGCAGTGATGTGAGCCGTGTGCAGTGACGTGGGCCGTGTGCAGTGACGTGAGATGTTGCAGTGGTGTGGGCCATCCATTGTGATGTGGGCCGTGTGAAGTGACGTGGGCCGTGTGCAGTGACGTGGGCCGTGTGCAGTGATGTGAGATATTGCAGTGGTGTGGGCCATCTGTTGTGACATGGGCCGTGTGCAGTGACATGGGCCGTGTGCAGTGATGTGGGCTGTATGCAATGATGTGAGATATTGCAGTAGCATGGGCCGTGTGCAGTGACATGAGATATTGCAGTGGTGTGGGCCATCTGTTGTAATGTGGGCCGTGTGCAGTGACATGGGCCGTGTGCAGTGACGTGAGATATTGCAGTGGTGTGGGCCATCTGTTGTGATGTGGGCCGTGTGCAGTGACATGGGCCGTGTGCAGTGACGTGAGATATTGCAGTGGGGTGGGCCATCCATTGTAATGTGGGCCGTGTGCAGTGACGTGGGCCGTGTGCAGTGACGTGAGATATTGCAGTGGTGTGGGCCATCCGTTGTGATGTGGGCCGTGTGCAGTGACGTGGGCCATGCATTATGATGTGGGCCGTGTGCTGTGTGCCATGGGTCATGTGTGGGCCGTGGGCTATGACATGGGACGTGCTCCCTCGTGTGGGCTGTGCTTTGGGCTCTGCGCCATGAAGTGGGCTGTTTGCTGTAAAGTGGGTCATGCACTGTGATGTGGACCGTTTATAGTGACGTGGGCTGTTTGTCCTGAAGTGGGCTGTGTGTCGTGACATGGACCATGTGCAGTGAAGTGGGCTATGGACCGTGACGTGGGCCATGGTGAAGTGTGTGCCATGACACAAGCTGTGGAGACCTTGGTGGCCAGGGCTATGCCAAGCTGGGGTCCCAAGGAGCCCTAATGGCTCCATTCCTACATCCCACCCTTGCCCCAGGAAAGAGGTCACAGAGACACTCCAGGCCTCATCTGACAGGTGCCAACTGCATCCCAAGCTGGACGTTAACTTTGCAGTAAGGAGTAGATGCCAGGCTCGGCCAGCAACATGGATACATGGTGCCCACATGGGGTCACCCTGAATGTGTGTTCCTGGAACGTGGCCTGAACCCCAGGAGCCTGGTTGCGAGCAGGAAGCTGGGTGGGGAGGGGCTTGTGGCACTGCTGACCAGTCCAGAACACACCCCCTCTCAGATGTCCTTGTTTCCACCCAGTGGTGGGTGTGGCTGGCAGGCCTGGCAGGTGCCCGGATGCTGGCTACCCTCCTGAGCCACCAGAAGTCTGACGTTTGTCTGACCAGCCTGGGCCTTTGTGCCCTTTACTGTACCATGTAGACCTGTATGCTGTGTGGGTTTGCTGCCTGGGGGCCACCGGTCTGGCTCCAGGGTGGGATTTCTGGAGGTTCTAGATTCAATGTGCAATCAGGCCTGGGGAGGGGGTGACTTGAGCTAGTGGAGCCGTTAATGGAGGAAAGAGTCCCCAGTGGCTTAGGAGATCCCGAGATGAAGTAGGGGACCTCTTGACAGCCCCAGACCAAGATCCCAGACAGTGTGAGAGAACCTTAAGGCATCCAGAAGGGAAGGGGACCCCAAGATGCATGCAGAGATACCCAGACAGAGCAGGAGATACCCAATAGAGCAGAGCCCCCAGAAGGGCAGGGGACCCTGACAAAGGCAGTAGCCTGTGACTGTACCCCAGGCCTTTGGACCCCTTGGCCAGCACCCCCACCATGCCTCTTCCCCCTCCTTCAGGCATCTGACCATCAGAGACCGCAACGAGGGTCAGGTTGAATGGGAGGTGTATTTGCTGTCCTTGCTCTGAGAGGGTGGTGGCCAAGGAGGGGCCTCACTGGTGGCACAGTGGGTTTGCCCTGTGGTAGCTGAGAGGTGGGCACTGTGGAATAAAGGGGTGCGGTCTGCTTCCATCCACCACAAGGATAAACCAGCAGAGCTCAGTGAGGGCTGCTGCTCGGAGGTGACCTATCCCCAGGCCTATCCCTGTGGCCAGGTTCCCTCATGTCGAGGGGGCTTCCAGACTTGCAGAAGCAGACATTGCCCTCCCCAGCACCCCCTGCTCCCAGCTCCCGGACGGCTCATTCCACAGGCACTCATGGCCTCTCTGATAACCAGCAGGTGGACGGTTTGAAGCCACCATTTGCTCCTTGTGGAGGGACAGGATGCAGTTGACTTCAGAAAAGCTTCCTGCACCCCCTGTCCAGTGACCCTGACCTGTGAGTCAATGGAGGGCCTGCAGGCGTGGGTGTGTAGTTGTCAGATGTCCCTGTGTTCACTGTCCCCACCTACAGGCCCTCCTGGGGGGTGTGATGGACAAGCGGTCCTGGGAGAACTGGCTTCCTCGCTGCCTGGCGTCGCCTCAGGAAAGGTCTGCAGACTTTGCTTCTGGAACTTGTGTCCTGTGGAGCTGAAACCGACCATAGTTGACCCTCGAGGGCGTTTTCAGGGGCAGGAAATCGCACCCTCAGAGGAGCTGGCCCCTCTTTCTCGCGCAGAGCAGCTGATGGATTAAAAGCGTGTATATTTGTGTTGGCAGCTCCCCTGAGCAGGCAGAGCTCTGCTCCTCCTGATGGGGACCCTGCAATGTTGGGGCTTTGCTGGCCAGTGTTGGGGTGGTGCCCGAGGGTGCCAGTGCCCTGTCTCACACCTGCCGAGTGTCCTCAGTGGTGGCAGAGGGTGAGGAGTGGGGCCTGGCTGAGTGTCCAGAGGGTCCCCGTCCCTGGATGATGATGCTTGAACAGGGACACTAAGGCTGAGAGTCGGGGTTCCAGCGGGTCCAGTTCACCAGCAGGCCCTCTCAGGAACCCCTGACCCCTTGTTTTGTCTTGTAGACCCAGACTGGGCCTCCCACACCCTCGGAGTCTTCATCTGCCTGAGCTGCTCCGGGATCCACCGCAGCATCCCACAGGTCAGCAAGGTGAAATCGGTGCGCCTGGACGCCTGGGATGAGGCCCAAGTGGAGGTAGGGCCTGGAGCAGCTGCAGGGCTTGGGGAGCACAGAAGGCCCTCAGCAGGTGGAGGGTAGATGGTTGACCTTCAGGGGACATGGGGTGGGTGGGGCATGGATGGGCTTTGAAGAGCATGGGCTAGGATTGGACCAGGTAAGAGGGTCTGTAGAGAATGGATTAGGAGCTGGACAAGTGGTCGGGGTGTAAATGAGAACCTGCAAGGACACAGGTGAGGATGGCAGCACAGGTAGAGGGGTCTGCGGGGCGTGGGGCAGGGGTGAGGGTACAGGAGATACGAATGAGGAAGTGACACGGGCAGGCCTGGAGGGTAAGGATGACAACCCTTGGGCATGAGGGGGGCACGGCGCAGGCACAGTGCAGCCCCTCAGGACCCTTGACCTCCACTAGTCCTGTGCCAGGTGGGCTCAGAGCCAAACTTGAAGTGGGGGTGAAGGCCAAGTCCCCACCAGCCCACTGAGTCTGCTCTTTTTATGGTTTTGACAGTCTGACTCTTTAAATTGTCATTTGAGTGAAAGTTAACCAAGCACATCGTTTCCCCAGCCCCTCGTTCCTGCGTTTCCCCAGCCCCTCGTTCCTGCGTTTCCCCAGCCCCTCGTTCCTGCGTTTCCCCAGTCCCTGTGCTCCCTCACAGCAGCCACAACACACTCTGCGTCCTTCCCTTTACCCAGGAATGTGTCCTGCCTCCTGTTCATGCCAGGACCTTCCACTGGGACCCCTTTCAGAGAGTGGGCAGCACCATCTGGTTCTGGTCTCTGGAGGCTCGGGCTATCATCATCTTCCTCATCTGGATTCACCACCTCCTGACGGTTTAGTCTTCGTCTCTGTTGTGCTCTGAGAGAGGGACCAATACTGTATCTTTGTGATGTGCGCCAGGCTCTTGTCTCTTCTTTGCGGCAAATTGCCTGCGCCCTTCCCTACTTCTTATGGGGTTGTTGAGTCTTTGGGCCTTAGATAAGTTCTTTATATCTTATAGAAGTGACCTTCTCAGATATTAAAACATATGTATGTATGTATGTGTGTATGTATGTATGTATATATGTATATGTGTGTATATATATACACACATACACATGTATATACATACGCATACATACACACGGAGCGGGCTAAGGAGTTGCATTGCCAGTGCAAAGGCATGTGGTTCAAATCCACCAGCTGCTCCATGAGAGAAAGATGGGAAGTTCCCTCCTCTGTGCTCTGTAGGTTGCAGCCTCTGAAAACCTGCTGGAGGGTCAGTGGGAGTCAGTTCTTAGCCAACAGAACATAACTCTCATATATACATACACATATATACACATGGGTTCTGGGTTATCGGTGCATGACTATCTGAACGTTGGACCGTGAATAAGGGCGATGGAAGAAGGCCTGAGCTGTGGTGTTGGAGAAGAGCACTGACCATCCATGGACGGCCAAAAGAAAAACAAGTCTGTCTTGGAGGAAGCGGGTGCCTCTTCGTGACAAGGATGGTGACACTGCCTCCTACACTTTGGCCTTGTGTTCAGGAGGGCCAGTCCTTGGGAAAAGGACTTCATTCTGGGAAAGTAGAGGATCGGAGAAAGAGGAAGGCCCCAACAAGGTGGATCGACACAGGGCTGGTGACAGTGGTTCAGGCCAGAGATGCTGAGGGCAGCACAGGACAGCGCCGGGTGCAGATCTGATGTTCATAGTGTTGCAGTGAGTTGTCGTCAACTCAATGGCACCTGACAGTAGTGACTATAGAATATGTGTGTGTGATTATGTATGTGTGTAAGATTATGTTTGTATGTGTGTGATTATGTGTGTGACCATGTACGTGATTATGTATGTGTGTGTGCGTGTGTGTGTATGTATAGACTTTTTTATTTCTTAGTTCATAGTAGTTTTGACCATGGCCCTTTTTTCTACTTTTATGTCAAATTTATCACTCTTTTCCTTTGTGGTTTTGGGGTTTGTGGCTACCTTAATATTAGTATTAGTTTTAAAAATATTAGCTTTATTAAGCTACAGTTCATGTAACCACACAGGTCACCCATTTGCAGTGTGCAGGGGTGTTTAATGTGGCCCCAGGGGTAGACAGTGCTCTTCACTATCAAGTCCCAGAATGTTTTATCATCCCAAAGCCCTGTTTTAATATCTGGTAGAAAGAACCTCAGAAACCTGGTGGCACTGTGGGTGAAGTGCTGGACTGGCTGTGGGGACCTTCCATTACTCTGAGGCCAACTTCGCCATGGGGATTTACAGCCTCACACCCTGTGGGCAGCCCTGCTCTGCTGCTCTCACGTGATGTGGGATGTGCTGGACGGCGGGGGCTACTTTCAATGTCATCTTTCTCAGCACCTCTATGACATGTTTGCTTGTTAATTTTTTGGAGAAACTTTGGAACTGTTGTCTACAAACTTGTATTGCTTTTGGACCTTCGTGAAATGGATAGAGGAACGTTGAGAGGCAGTGTGTTTTCAAGATGCTGTCAAACATCTCTCAGAACAGACCATGACTGGTGGGTCAGTGCTGGCCCTGTTGACCCTCTCTCTGTCTCGTTTCTGAGGCAGTAGATCTTAGCAACAGCAGACTGCCCGCCTTTCTCCCTCAGCAGCTGGTGGATTTGAACCACTGACATGTTGATTAGCACCCAACACATAATTCACTACCCCTCTGGGCCTCCTTTGATGTCCCTCTGGGGAACATGGAAGTTCTTCCTCAAGTTCTAAAGTCCTTTCATCGAACTTTCTCAGTCTTTTTCTCATGTAATCGATCTGGTAAATGGAGTCTTTCCTTCTACTGAATCATCTGAAAAACCCGCACACAGCACCAGCCCCTTACTCCGCCTGTGGCCTGCAGAGCAGCCTGCCCTGTGGCTCGGGTCCAACGGACTCCTGTGTAAGCAGATCTTTTCGCTGGAGGTGCTGAGATGGGAAAGACGGGCTGGTGATCAAGCGTTGAGTGGAGGCCTTCTTATCTCGCTGGCCTCTGCTGACCCAGCTGGGGTCCTTCTGCAGCCCTGCTGCCTCTCGAAGCTTGTCCACGGCAGTTGTGTTGTCCGCATGGTGTTCTGGGTTCCACAACAGCTTTACTGGTGGATGGCTGGTGGGGGTTGTGGAGCCTGTCATGATGGTGGACAGGTCTCAGCAGAGCTTCTAGTCTAAGACCAGGAAGAAAGGCCTGGCCCTCCGTCTTCAGTCACCTCTTCCTCCCCTGGGCTGGAGGTCTGTGTCTGGTCCTTCAGTCCTCTTTGTATCACCCTTCCCTGACTCGCTGCACTCACTGTCATGCTGGCCTCCAGTGGTCTAGCACCCCTGCACCCTCTCCCCATCAGCCCACACCCCTGCACCCCCAGCTGCATCAGCCAAGCACCCCCAAACCCTCGCCCCTGTCAGCCCAGCACCTCCAGCCCAGAATCCTGCACCATCAGCCCAGCACCCCACTCCCCACCCCCATCATCCCAGCACCCCCACATTCTCACCCCTGTCAGGCCAGCACCCCCAGCTCGAGCACAGTCCCCCATCCCTTATCCCCACCAGCCCAGCACCCCTGCCCCCCATCACTCCACTCCCATCAGCCCAGCACCTCACTCATCTGTGGCCCAACCCTCTGCTGTTTCCTGGGACAAACACCTTTTGCTGATGTCTCTAAAACGCCTCCTCCCAGATGCCCTCCTCACACCTTCATGGACCACTGCTGCTCCAGCTCTTCTTCTTTTTTTTATTTTATACTGATTTCTTTACAAAACTCTAGTAGTTGTTTTTTATGTGTTTACCATCAAATCAGATCTGACTAGTACACGAGGAGATTGCCCCTCCTTCTCCAGCAAAGGATCTGGTGGACTTGAATTGCATACGTCTGGGGTCGCTGTGCAGCTTCTTGCCACTAGGCCACCAGGGCTCCCTAAGTAGTTGTTTTTTACACAAGATCTTTCCCATTTCCTTCACCCCCATCCCTTCTTGTCTGTGTGCTGTTGTGAGAGCGGGATGTAGAGACAGAGCACAGGGTAGGGATGAGGCTCGTTCTGGGGCTGACGTGGAGGTGGTGGTGTGTTCCTGTGTGTGGAAGAAAGGGCGGGTGCTGCTGCAGTGGGAACAGGCTCTCACAGTCAGGGCAGGGGCTCTGTCAGAGTGCAAGGGGCTTCACTGCAGGAGGAGGGGCTCCCACTGTGGCCACAAGCCTGAGTGTCTGAAGATGTGTACCAAAGGTCATTCTCTGACCAAACAGCAGGTGAGCCCAGAAGCACCCGGATGGGGAAGGATGTTGGCCGGTGGATAGCTAGATAGGCTTTGTGTCCTCATGTCCCCCCCCAAACGTGATCTGTGGGTATCTCTGGAGGTCTTTAGGAGAGGCCATGCTGAATCGACGTGGGGGCAGGGAGACCTGCACTTGTGGTTAACCTGCATCATGTTCTTGGCTGGGTGTGGGCGAGGCCTGGCTGCTGACACTAAGGCTGGCCTGTCTTGTCAGGGTCATTCAGCCAGGGGACACAGCACTTCCGGAACAGTGAGGTGGTTGGGAGTTCTGAGCCCTGGGTATTCGCAGAGCTTCCGGGGAGGGAGTGAAACCTACCACTGTCCCTCTTGGCTGAAGTGTCACCTCCCTGTGGCCGGCAGGAGTGCCCACCCACACCTGTCTGTCTCCAGTGCCCCACCAGCCTTAACCCAGAAGCTATCTGCTTGCTGAGTGGTTCAGCCCAGCCTCTGCCGGAGGGTCTCAGGGTGTTCTAGGGATGAGCATGTGGGGCGCCAGCTAAGAGTCCATCCAGCAGCACCTCAAAATAAACGTCTGGCCGTCTGCTTCTTGAAAGCTGAAAATGCTGACTCACGGGCTGTGGTCAGGTGCAGCCTGCATGTCGGCTCTACGGCTGAGGCCCTGTGTGCTGTGGGGTCATTGCCCGGCACTGGGCACCAGGGAGGAGGGCTGGAGGGTGGCAGTAGCCATGCCCTGGGGTCAGCCCACACCTCTGGCCGAGCCAAGCTGACCCCTGTCTTTTGCAGTTCATGGCCTCCCACGGGAACGAAGTCGCCAGGGCTACATATGAGGCCAAGGTGCCCTCCTTCTACTACCGTCCATCCTTCTCCGACTGCCAGTGAGTGACCGCTCCTTAGGGAGGGTCCCGGGAGAGTGCGGTGGGCAGGAGGGGCCTCTGGGGGGGCGTCATGCCAACAGTGGGGGCGGGGAGAGACTGTGTGTGGGCAGTGGGGGTCTTCATGACCCCTAATGTTCTGAGGGGGAGACAGTTGGCTTGGCAGTGAGGGGCCACACTGGGAGGGGTATGGAGACCCCTCTGCTAGTGGGTATTGGGGAGAAGGAAGGATGGCTGGGGCCCTGCTCCATGCAACAACCTCCCTGAACCTCAATTTCCCCATCTGGTCACCCTGTCCTCATCCTATGTCCATAAGATATACGTGGCCCTACCTCAGTGTCCTCAGCACACATGCGCCCTCAGGGCCATGTCTCCTGACCTGAGCCCATGTCTGGGGAGGTGAACGCTCTGAACACCTCCAGCCCATAAATCTGGTACTAGAGTGAGGGCCAGTCTGCCCAGGTGCTGGAGGCTGGGGTCTCAGTCTCTGAACCTTGTGGGGTGTGGATGGACAAGACTGTTCTGGATGCTTCCATCAAGGGGATTGGTACATAGTTACTGACCCATGTGTCCACTCCCATGATGCCCTCCTCCTACTGCTTATTAAAACTTCCATGCCAGACCCTGTGTGCAGGGCCCCAAGGGGTCAGCTGACTTTGCTACCCCGAGTCCCATCTTGCCCAAGTCCACCCAGCTCACCAGGTGCCTGCGTGCTGCATGAGGCCCTTGGGTCCCCCGGTGCCGAGTGCAGGGTCACAAGCAGGGAACTGGGTGTCCGTTGAGCCACAGAGCAGGTCTCAGGGGTCCGCGGGTGAGGCTGCAATGGCACTAGCAGGCCTCATGACCTGTGTGTGAACCCCACTTGAGCTGGCCCGAGGACCTAGTGTTTCCTGTGTGTTCTGTTCTGAGTGACTGAGTGATTAACAGGAAAGAGAAAAAGTCCAGGGCCTGCAGGTTGGGGTGGGGGCCAGCCTCGTCTGAGCCCCGCCCCCTGCAGTGTGTGGCCTGGCTTCCCTGCCGACCAAGGTGTAGTGCCCAGTCTTGGAGTGGCATCAGCTGTGACCATGTGCTAAGACTGAGGAAGACCCCCCGGGCGTCCATGGAGGCGGGTCCTGGCCTCCAGTGCTTAGGACACCATGGCTTAGATGGGCCCCTGGGAGCAGGGGTCTCCCAACTGGGTGCCGCTCCTGAGGTGTGTGCGTGTCTGTACCTCCCTGAACCCGTAACAGAGCCCTGCCGAGGGTCCGCTGTGGGTGTCGCCTCGGCTCTAACCCACAGTGACCGTATGCAGCAGGAGCCCTCCCTGGGCCTGGTTGGCGGCAGGGACGGAGATGCACCCTCTCCCCTGGAGACTCAAGCCCTAATCAGGGTTCATGTGTCACAGAACCTCGCTCTCCAGAGACTCCTGGGGGGTCCTTGTCCCTCCGACTCGGGCAGTGCTCAGATGGTCCCAACACCTATATCCGTCTCCTCACCTGTCCCCCCATGTGACCACGTCCTCACCTGTCCCCCCGTGTGACCACGTCCTCACCTGTCCCCCCGTGTGACCGCGTCCTCACCTGTCCCCCCGTGTGACCATATCCTCACCTGACCCGATTATGGAACCATCTGGAACAGACAGATATGCAGAGAGGGTGCAGGCCTGGGGAGGGCCCGGGTGCTGAGAACCTTCTGGAATTGTATTAGGGTGGTGGCTCCACAGACAGTTGCTCGATGGCACATGTCAGAAGGTGAGCACAACCACCTGACAGACAGACAGAAAAGGAAGTCCTTGCAAGAGGGCCGATCTGATTAGCTGGATGTTTTCAGACTGGATTCCTCAATGCCAAGGTCTAACGCGGATCTTCTGCCTCGGTAACCTCTGTTCTCTGGCCCACTGGGTCCACTGTGCCCTTAGGGGTCTGCTTCCTGGCACCTGACAGCAATAGTGACCTTGCCCTGCAGATCACTGTTCTGGAAGGTTCTAGGGGGGTTATTGTTATCCAGTGGTGGCAGTCACAGACTCCTTCCCTCTCTGCAGGCTCCTCCGGGAGCAGTGGATCCGAGCCAAGTACGAGCGGAAGGAGTTCATCCACCCCGAGCTGCAAGAGCCCTACTCAGCAGGTGGGGACTGGGTGCCGCAGGGGAGGGGGAAGGTGGAGGTAGGGATGGGGTGTCACACAGGAGGGGGTGGGTGGGGGTGGGATTCACAGGGGAGGAGAAGGTGCAGGTGGGCTGTCTCGAGGAGGGTGAGGTGCATGTGGGTCTGGATACTGCAGGGGAGGAGAAGGTGCAGGTGGGGGCTGGGTAGTGCAGGGGAGGGATGAGAGGCACAGGTGGGGGCCTGGGCCTGTGTGGTGGTGGGGGGTTGAGTTGAGCTGTCCCAGAACACTGGACTTGGTCCCTCTCTGTCCCCCTTTGTGTATCTTTGTCATGCTTCTCTGGAGAGCTGGCCTCTCCCAGCTGCCCCTGGGCACAACCGCTGGCCAGCTTGGTGTCTCCATCACCCCATGGGGCCGAGCACAGGCCAGGCCCCCAGCAGGGCAGCCCCTCCACTGGCTCCCTGCAGCTCACGCAGCATTCTGGTGCTTTCAGTCCTGAGTGAGGGTGGGCTCCAGCAGGTGGGTGGGTGGGTGGACTGGCCAGGTGAGACTGGCGCCTAATGGTCCAGATAGGTTTGATGAGATTCTGAAGACGGTATCTCCCCAGAGGCCAGGTGAGGATACCTCAGCAGCCTTCCAGCAGCCCCTCCATAACACGTCCCGCCCTGGGGAGCTTGGCTGTATGTTGGACGCAGCCTCAGGCTTCATGGGAATCCTTCACTCCGCCTCCTTGTCCTCTTCTACAAACAGGGAAACTGAGGCAGGGGTGTGGCCTGGCCTTGAGCTACATTGGCCCTAGGCTCCTGAGCTGACCTTGAGGTGGTCTTGTGACCTCTGTTTCTGAGCCCTCATATTAAATAAAACCCCCAGTTATAACCATGGTCCACTTCATCCCATTTCCGAGGCCATAAGAGCTCTACAGGACAAAACTGCCCACCAGTCTCTCTCAGAGCAGCCGGTGAATTTGAACCCCTGACCTTATGGTCAGCAGCCCAATACATTACGCACTACACCACTGTGAAAGGCCACTCTCAGCTCCCTGCATGTAGAAGTGCCCGGTGGCCAGGCAGACCCCTCCTGTGGGCGTGCCAGATGTGAGAACGCACGTGTACAGCGGTGCTCCCAGCAGCCCACAGGTGAACAGCCGAATAGCCCCACAGATGATGGATGAACAGTGAGTCCGTCTGCGTGGTGGGCCCCGCGCAGCTGAGGGAAAGGAGGCAGAGCCTGCTGATCCCGCACGCAGAGTCCTTTGTTAGGAGCTGCTGAGTCAGCAGCAGCCCAGCGCGCAGCAGAGGGACCTGCCGGTCCTGCACCGTCCTCATGGCCACCACAGGGCTTGAGCCCCTCGTCACAGATGCTGTGTTGAGAGTCTCCCTCTTTTGTGCTGACCAAGCATGATGTCCTCCAGGGTCTGACTCTCCCAGCGGCATGACCGAGTATGTGAGCTAGGATGGGCAAATCCGGAGAGGCAGAGAACAGATCCATTGTTGTCAGGGGCCACAATCAGGAGGTGACTGCTTGTGGACAGGTGTGGTGGCGCAGGGAATGGACGGCGGCCCCGGGATGCTCAGCTCTGAGATGGTTCATTGCTACGTAAATTCCCTTGGTTTAAGAAAAAAAGGAGGGAGAGGCAGACGGTCCAGTGCTAATGGCAGAGGGTCATGGCCAGGCCATTTGTCGCACCAGGCTTGAGGGTAGGCCCAGGGCAGCGGCAGAGGCCCTTCCCTGGCCCCGGTGGAGCCCGCCCTCTGTGACCCCGCGGGGAGTTTGACTAGCCCTGTTGTAGCTCAGTGCCCACGCTGAGCGAGCGCAGGGGTGCCGAGTGGTGCTCAGACCCCTCCTGAGTGACCCTTCACCATCAGCCAGCCCAGTGGGTTGCTGGGTTCCCAGGTCCAGCACGCGGCAGGGGAGGGGGCTGTTGTGTAAAGGGCAGGCCAGGCTCCCAGCTCCCCTGCTCACGGGATCGCACCCTGCATCCGGACATGGCCTGCGGGCCGACTGCTGGTCCAGGCTCCATTGACCCGGCCATCATCACCCCTCCTGGAGGAGGCCGAGGTGAGGGGGCAGCTAGTGGAATCAATTCTATGCTTCACGGTCAGGGTTCTTGCTAGACTGGTGGGTGAGGAATGGAGCTCAGTAGAGAGATGGACAGACAGACGGAGGGAGGGAGACACTGATGGATTGAGTAGAACCAAAAGTAAACCCTTGCTGCCGTCAGAGTTTGGATTCGTTGCCACCCTGAGGAACAGACTGCTTCAGTCTCCCAAGGCTGGCGGATCTGAACTGCTGATCTTTGAGTTGGCAGCCCAAGCATAACGCACGATGCCACCAGGCTCTTTGTGTAGATAGGCAGAGAGAGATCAGTGACCATCAGAAAACAAACCCTCTGTTGACCAGCCACGACCCCCCCAATCAGGTTCCCACGTAAACCCTCAGGGGAGAGGCTGGCGTTCAAACCACACCTTTTGGTCAGAGGTCCAAGACTTCGTGGCTCTGGTCTCAGAGTCCTTGTCCTCGATAATGACAGATGGACGCTGATGGGTTAGATTCCTGCGTCTAGAAAAGAGTATACGGATGCTGCTCTGTTAGATAGTGACGGGCAGAGACGTTGATCAGTTAGACACACGCATCCAGATGTAGATGAAATGCTTGCAGATTAGGGCTGGTCGGTGTATTGGTAAATATAGAGAGTGCTGACAGCCACTCATGGCAACCGAACAGAACAAGAAAAAGTGGATGCTGGTCTCCCACGGCCAGCCAGCTCCTCTGTGTTACAGCTCATGTCCTGACGCCCCATTCCCCGGCCAGGATGAAACACAGCGGGTTGACCAGCTGCCTCTGCGTGTATGAAGGAGAGTGGCCATGTCCCTGGAGTAGGGAGAGGCCTCCCTGATAAGGTGACCCCAGGAAGAGAGACCCTCCCCAGCCTCCATATCAGAGGCTGGCCTCAGTCCCTGTGATCACCCTCCAAGGGGCCTCAGCCTGGACGCACATGCCCTTGCGGCAAGTGGGGTCCCTGGGTTTGGATGTGAAGGGCTCATCAGTGAAGAAGTGTGTCGCACCAGAGCTTGGCCCATGCATCCTGGGTGGAGTGCACCCTACAAATCCATTCAGTGACCCCAGGAACAGGGCAGGGCAATGGGTGGGTAGGTGTATAGAGGGGGAAGCCCCAGAGTTTTCTCCACCCTGTGCCTACTTCTCAGTTCTGGGAGGTGGATGTGACACCCTGGCCAGCGGCCTCACAGCCTCTCCCTGTCCTGGCCAGCTGGGGCCCATCTGCCCGACACGTGGTTAGCTCTCCCAGCCCCTTTAAAGCCCCTGGGATCCCACAGTCTCTTGTCTCCCCACTGTTAGCCGAGGGAGCCCTTTGTCACAGGGATGATAACTCCTCCCACAGGCAGAATGCAGACGTGCTAGGGGCGTGGGGGGGAGGGGGTGGTGAACACGAGCCGGGGAAGGGCTCCAGGCTGAGGGGTGGTCTGGAGGAAGGTCATACAGAGGAGCTGCCCTGCAATGTTCTAAGATATTCTGCTGACTAGGGGGTGTCAGGCCATGGGCACACAGGTGCTGAGGCCCTGAGATGTATGAGTGAGGTTGGGGCAGCTGTCCCTGACCGCTGCTTGGCCTCAGGCCTTGGGCTAAGCAGGCCTCAGAACCGGCCAGTGAGCACTGAGCCCTTGCACCTCAGGTGGAGGGGCTGCATGAGGATATGAGGCCATGAATGACCAGAGTTGGCATTGTGGGTGACGAGACTGGGGATGCTGGACTGGACTGTCATCTGCCCTTGAACTCACAGCACCCCCATGACCAGCAGAATGAAGCCCTGTCCTGTCCTGCAGCATTTGCACGGTCCCTGCTGCAGCTGTGGGCAGTTCATCCTCTGGCCCACCAGCTTTCCCAGCGTGAGGTCTTCTCCAAGGACTGACCCTTCCTGACCACATGCCCAAAGTGAGCGAGATGAAGTCTCACCGTCCCTGCATCTAAGGAGCACTCCCGATGCTCCTCCTCCGGGACAGACTTGCTTGTTCTTCTGGAAGTCTGTGGGACAGTCAGTGCTTTTCACAGCACCATAGCTCAAGGGCATCTCAGTTCTCAGAGTCCAGCTTTCAGGTATGTGTGAGCGATTGAAAATACCGTGGCTTGGGTCAAGCTCATCTCCGATTTTAAACTGACATCCTTGCTCGTGAAGACTTTGAGGAACTTCACAGCAGATCTATCACCATAAGATGTATGTCCCCATGTGTCCACTCATGAAACAAAGCAAGTGTGGACTGACACACACTCCAGTCACACATGTAGAAGGAACGGGGTCACTGTCTTGAGTCAGAACTCACCCACAGCTGACCCTCTGCTGGGTTTCTGGGCTTGTAAATCACACGGGAGGAGACAGCCCACTTTTCTTGAGTAGCTGTGGGCAAATTCGAACTCCAGCCCCCTACAAAGAAGTGAAGCAGAGATCACACCACCAAGAACTGCTGTATAAGGATGCGTTGAAATTAGCGCATGGGCTTTGAAGAGGCAGCAGGGATGGGAGGCTCCAGGGGCCCAGAGGTTCAGGGGAGAGAGCCCCACTCCCCTCACAAGCCACCCACATGGGCCAGCATGGCAGCTGCGACAGGGCCAAGAAAGGAGGGCCACTTCTGCTCCAGATGCACAGCTCACTCCCTCTGTGAGAATGCGTTAACCCCGGGGTGAGGGGCAGAGCCCTGTCTGCTCTTTGGAGGATGGGTGAGGGGCTGTCCTGCAGAGGACAGAGCTGGTCTGCTAGGAGTCTGGTCCCTGGACGGTTAGGGGAAGCAGGCTGAGAGGTGTACGGTTGCTGCACTGTATTTGATGTTAAGTGCCATCGAATCACCCGTGACTCCGCGACCCTATTGACAGCAGCTCTGAAGCCGGCCCTGTCCTGAGCCAGTCTCACTGACTCCCGACACACCTTTCCCTGTTCCTCCAGTTACTGTATCAATCCATCTCATCCCGGGTCTTCCTGTCCTGAGCTGTCCCTCCACCCTTCCAGCATGA